ACACACACACACACACACACTCACACACTCTTACACACGCACTCACACTCTCTCTCACACACACACACACACACACACACACACACACAGGTTACCTTGATCTCTCTCTGTTCCACTGATTTCTCCCATATCTGCTGGTCATACGCCCCGATCTGACACACACACACACACACAGAAGAGAGACACATCAGACATGATCTGAACAGCATTCATGTGTTCAACATCTGAAGAACACACACACACACTCGGCATGAGTGTTTGGTTGTGGTATAAACGCGGTGATGGATCATGACGCTGAAGTGTTCAAGTGTTTAGTGAAGGGTTACTGGTTTCGCATCTCAGTGTGTGTGGATCCACAAGCAGTGGCAGCTCTGATTGGTCTGACTGTTGCTAGGGACGACAGCTCTGATTGGTCTGATTGTTGCTAGGGACGACAGCTCTGATTGGTCTGACTGTTGCCTGGGGGGACAGCAGCAGCAACTCTAATTGGTCTGATTGTTGCCGGGGGCGACAGCAGCGCAGTGTCATTTCCACACTAGAGGTGAAGACTGAGACGCTAAAGTCACATGACACACGGTGGAAAACACTCAATAATTCACGAGTTCAGTCTCATTAAACATACAGTGAGCGCACAACCTGTGTGTGTGTGTGTGAGTTTGAGTTCGAGACCATTGGAGGATAAAAGGTAAATCTAGGACCTTTCAGGGTTAGGGGTCAGGGATCAGGGTCAGGGATCAGGGTTAGGGTAAGAATGTCCTCACAAAGATACATGTACAAGAATGTGTGTGTGTGAGAGTGTGTGTTGTTGTTTCTCTAAATAAAGCTGAGGTGTGTGTGTGTGTGTGTGTGTGTGAGCTGACGCTGCGCTGTGAGTCACTTGTTATTGTCTGTAATTGACGTGTTGCACATTGGCGTGTCTTTCATGTTCTTGCATGTTTCTCTGATTAAACATGTTTGATGGAGGAAAAACCGTCACAGTCTCACACACAAACACTCAATCACATGTGTGTGTGTGTATGTGTGTGTGCTCTTTCATAACAATCTCTGATTTGACAATTCTAGCATCTGTAGAACCGCATTTTTCCATCTTAACAATCTCTGTAATTTACTCCACACGCTCTCACTGACGACTGCGGGACAGTTTAATGGGTTCATGACCTCAAGGCTGGATGACTGTAATGCTCTACTGGGTGTTTGTCCTGCACTCTTAATAAACAAACTCCAGCTCGTCCACACCGCAGCCGCTCCAGATCTCACCAGAACCAGGAAGATTGACCACATTAGCCGCTTCTGTCATTGGCTGCCTATTAAACATCGGATACATGTTAAAATATTGCTGATTACTTATAAATGGTTTATCTCCAGTACTTGAGCGAGCTCTTACCGCATTATAGTCCTTCACATCTATTGCGATCTCCAATACCTAGATAATACCTAATTCATAATATCTAATATAATATCTAGAATATCGAAATCGACTGCAGGCGGGAGATCCTTTTCCTATTCAGCACCAAAACTCTGGAACAATCTTCCTAACATTATCCGGGAAGCTGCAGACACACTCTGGCAGTCCAAATCTAGACTAAACACACATCTCTCCGGCCTAGCGCACACACACACACACACACACACACACACTATAGACCCGTTAATCCTGATCAACTCGTTACATCATAAGAAGGATGGCGTCTACGCTAATATCAGTTTTCTGTTTATCCCGAGGTTTACCCGCAGTCTGCCGGATCCAGATCGGATGAAGGACCTGCACCTGGTAACACACACACACACACACACACACACACACCCCAGATCTGACGAAGGGTTAGTCCATCCCTTCTCCTCTGTCCAGATAATCGTTGTCATATAGTTCTGGTTCTGGGTGGAAGGAATAAGTAATTCTCTATTATACATTTTTAAGGCCAGTAGTTTGTTGAGGCCAGTAATTTATAAATCAAGACTACACGCCTCCGCACATATATATCCACATCTGTA